AGTAATATGTCCAATTTAAGAAATAATGAATTCAAAATTCCTAGAGTTAACACCAAAGGTTTTGGAAAACACTCAATCAGATACTTGGGAACGGTACTCTGGTCAAAGATAGACAGTAAAATAAGGGAACTTATAACTATAGATGGATTTACAAGAGTGATCAGGAAAATAGACCTTGCTAAACGAATTTCCTCAAATACTTGCAGTAAATGTACTCTTTTTGATTGTTAAGATTAGTGGTGGGTTCATTTATATAGTTTCTTTTATATAATACATTTAGTAGATCGATCCACTGGAAAAATCTTAACGTTAGCAAGGATTTAGTACTCAAGTGAATTAGAAATCTTCTGACAGATTTTTTTCGTTTCTTTCTGTTTGATATTCAACAGCTATTATTTTGAGTTTCGCCAGGCTTTTGATATGGCGATCTTGAGCTTTTTCATGCGTGACAGCCCTCTAAAAGAGTTTCTTCCACATTTTAAAGGGCAACATTATTTGACAGTAGAACAATAACAAGCAACGAAGGAAATATTAGGACATGGCTCAAACTCGCAACATATTTTCCGTTACATAAAGGTTGTACGAAATTTTGGCAACATCCTGCGCAAACTGCCTACATCAGTAGTTCAGTAGTTGTTGTATGGCCTGAAATTTGAATACATAGACCATCTTAGTTGTTTTTTTCCAATCATTGTCCGTTTAACGATCTTTTTTTCTGACCGTAATGTTACTACCATCTCACATTCTCAGGCACTCAGTTGTGAATGATTTTGCGATGTCTTTGAATATAGATATATTATAAATAATGTCGACGTTCTGATAGTCTTGGTAGTAACTCTGTATTAAATCATTTCTGTTTATGAACTAGAATAAAAGCCCTGGTATTGATCCTGTTCCGTAATACTCAAACATTGCATGTTTGAGTACTATGGAATGTGCATGGTATGGGAAATGCATGTTGGTATTTTGAAAGTTCAGCTCCCTCCTTTGCTGTGTGATTGAAACTCTATCTCTCAGACTCTAAAACTAAGTCAATGCAGAATTTCTGGCTTCGAAACTTCTTAAAATCGAGGCGAACAACAAAAATTTATTTTTATTTCAGATGTCTGGGTTTGTGCGACGGATGTGCTTGAATGGTAACCAGGTACGGAATAGTTTTTACTTTTAAATTTATTGTAAACACGTGTACTGTAGAACTGTGCATTTAGTTAATAATTTAAACGTTAAACAAATTTGAATTTTTAGGGAGGTAAGGGCTTTTAAAGATGTGAAGAAAAGGCCTTCACCCAAATATTTACTTCCAATTGAATGCAAGTGGCTTTGAACTCCGGTCTTGTTAATTTGATTTCTTCGCCTCTGTAAACAAATTGAGGGTATCAACATGTTTGCAGACCACCCATCGCAAAGCCCACAACATTCCAATTGTACCTCGTCATAGGATGTGAACGCTAACTATGATCACTAGCTGTATGGGACTTTTGTGTTCGTGCGTGGTGAATGAAAAGAAAAAAAAATACTGCACTTAGAAATATCATTCAGCGATAAACACTCTGACATATTAGCCAATAAACTTCATTACGAATAAATGCAAGACAAGGGCGTCTCCTTATAGATTCAATTTTATCATTTAAGTAAGCGACAAACTCAAGTAGAACAAGCGTGACCAAAACTTAACTAAGAGCCAAGGACAAAAAAAATTAACTAAATATTAAGGTCATGAGAATTCGATTGCTAAATATAGGAGCTCCTAATTTAAGTAAACTTTCTTTTTCAGTACCGTAAGAAATATATGGAGAGCAGTATGAAGAAAATCCACGCTGATTTAAGGGTAACAAGGGAAACCAATTCAGTTCAAGTAGTCGACGAAGATGAATAAGCTCAAAACGTTTTCATATGACAAAAAAAGAAAATCAGTGTTTGATGCTAGCAGGACATGTAGCCATAGAAACTGATCATGATGACCTGTGTACACCAATGACAATGGATTTTAAATGTAAATTGGTTTCCTCTTTTAATTATCTCGTTATTTCATTCCCAATGGGAGCTTCTAGCAACCTGCGGTTTGTTTCAGCGTTATGTTAAAAACATAACGACTCACTGTTTCGATTACATTTTCTGTCAGTAGTTTGGAGAAACATGGGAAGTTCTAAAATGCTCTGCTCAATCTGGAGAAGAG